CCACATAAAGCTGCAAGCTTTACGTCCATGCATGACATCTAGGGCTAAGTTTGCCAACCCAAAGCTCAATAAAGGGTTTAATGCATGAAAGTTGGACAATAGCTTGATAAAGCTTGAATCTTTAGGCCCAAGGGACCTCATACTATCCAGATCTGAAGTCTCATCTTCAAGGCATGCTCAAACAACTAAAGGACTCAAAGAGAAGATGGAAATGGCCATAAACTCCCTAGTGAAGAGATCTAACAAACAAATGGTCAAGGTGATAGCTTTTTACCTCCAAATGGCAGCTAACACTGACAGAATACTGGATCCAAGGGCTCCTTCTCGTTCCAAGCCTTTTGCTCCTCAAACTCCTTCCAAGAATGCACTAAAACATACAATCTTAGTCTCTCTCTCACAGATGGTAATAGCTCGATTAGGGTTTCTCTCAGCGTGTTAAGGTGATGATGGAGGCGGGGTAAAGGGCCTAAGGTCCTTTAAATAAGGTGCAAACCCTAAAATTAGGGTTTTCACACTCAGCTCCAACTCGTCGAGTCGGGTCTCCCCAACTCGTCGAGTAGACTCTAAAAATCACGCGACCATCTCAATTTCTACTCGACGAGTTGGGGCCTCCAACTCGTCGAGTTTCCCTGACAAAACGAATATAATTTAATTAAATATTATACCTGGGAGTCAGGATGTTACACAAAGGTTCCACATTCTTCATCAACTTCCAAGTCTCCCAAGAGGACTCAAAGAACTACAAAGGTTGCATTTCTTCACCTCTTCTTTGGTTGGTGTTTAAATCTTTCTAAAACTTGCAAGATGATCCTTAGTGGGTATAAAATGTTATGTTATGTTCGAAATTTTAAGTCTTCCGTTGCCATATTTTTAAAGTTTATGAAACTATTTTGAACTAAAACCCAACATAATCACCAAAACATGATTGCCTAAACATCGCTGCACAAACTGGTCGGTTTTGTAAGCGTGCCATGATTTCACGCCCAAGTTTAGGTCTGCAGGTTGTAGTAACTACCGCTGCGTATGTTCTATCGTGCTACAATCAAAAGAATTATTAGTTAGGGATTTTTGTATGTATGCTCCGGAGCGGAGGGTTTTTGATTGTATTCCGGAATTAGGGTTTTTTTATTGTATTCCGGAATTAGGATTTGTGTATGTATGTTCCAGAATCCAGAAATCGAGTACGGTATTCTGGACCATAAAGTCCGGACCCAGTTCATTGTATTCCGGGCATGATTTTCGGATTCCGGATATGTTCTAGACTAGCAAAAATTAGGGTTTTTTTTTATTATGATGTATCATGTAGTATAAATGTATAAGTCTATGTAATCCTATAATTTCCCTAACAAGATTAAAATTCACAGAAAACCTATAATACCTATATAATTGCGTAAACCAATTTTTTTAATGTATAATAAAAAAATAAATGCATTTAATTAGAAACAAATTTGAAACTTACAGATAAAAACTGCATTTCTTCACTATCGAAAGACATTTTCAGTTGCATAGGTGTTCGAAATGGGATGTCGAAGTGTAATCCGAAACAAGGGATGTCGAATTGTAGTCCGAAACAGATTAAATGATATTTATAGCAGGACTAGATTACCGTGCCAGAATTATCTACCCGTTTCGCCGAATTTGAAATCGGATCCGGAACAATCCATTCCGGACCAAGTGGCCATTTTGCCAAAAAAAAATTATATTATAAAAAATCAACCAAAAAAATGGCTAGATTACTCAATTTCCCTACTTGTAATTTAAATTCAAGTTATAAATCAAATTGCCACCCTTTTAATTTATCACACAAATCTATAGGAAAATAATTGATTTTTTTTCTTTGCTAAAATGATCTAATATATCCTTAAAATGATATAAGTTTTGATAAAATAACAATAATAACCAGCCAAATATTATGGTCGAAAACCGTGGAAGCTAACATGATGAGATTCATTTAGGGTACAACATGGAGGTGGGAGACACGCACCTATGCGTCACGTGAATGGATAATTCAGCTAATTCTGAAGGGAACTCGTGGTGGGCCTGTTTCTGGGCTAACTAATTGCATACAATTTACTCCATGTGGGCCTACGATTTGTGCTTATTTGACGTTTTTTTAATCGATGATGATTTTTTTTTTTTTATAAATAAAGTTTGATATGATTTGGGATTACACCATGTCCTTGAGCATGAACCATGGATGATAAAAGAAAACCCTATGTTTCTCGGACAATAGGATCGGCATACCTTTCTTAAAAACCGGTGTTTGTTAACATCTTAGTCTCTAGGGCTGTTCACTATTTGGATAAAACTGAATTGTCCAATTAGACAATTTGGATTTGACTATTTGGTTCGGATATTCGGATTTTTGGATTGATTTTCAACAACACCGAATTATTATTTCGGATTGGTCTTGGTTTATAAAATAAGAACCGCATAGTCCTCCAAAAAAACCGAATAAACATTTATTATTTATTTATTTATAATATATATCTATAATTATCTATTAATTTTGTAATTTATTTTTTCAAATAGGTTTAAAACGTTTCATCCTATAAAAAAACATCAATATGTATTATCTCTCAAAAGTTTTTTATCTATAAAATATTTAACTATAATATATGGTAGTTGTTTATAAATTTCAAATGACAACGAAATAATTTATTTTCGCTTCTTGTGTAAAATTGGGTAATATTATAATTATATGTCGTTTTAAAATGTTTCGGTTTTTTAAACCGAATTATAAAAACCGATCCAACCGAATTGTAACCGGATCGGATTTGAATTTAATTTGGACTATTCGGATATATGTCTTGAAAACCGAAATCAATTTGGATTCACCTGATTGGATCGGATCAAACCGATCTATCCAAACGAACACCCCTATTAGTCTCCCTCTTCAACTCTACAACAAAAAGGCCTTAGCCTTACTGCCGCAAGCATGACAAGCCTTTGGAAGTTGATTTCTATAGTACCAGTACTATGTGTGGAAATGGTACCAATACCACTGTTTATGCTCAAATTCTTATTGAGATGTCGACAAAGGATGTTTGGAAGGAGGAAATAAAATTACCTCCACTACTTCTCTAAAGATGAATACTCTACAAACCAAAACGACCTGATCTTTGCAGTTTAACTATTTTATTTTATTTCTGATCTTTGCAGTTTAATTATTTTATTTTATTTCGTAAACAAATATCATTTATTGTTTCTGAAAAGTGCAAAGTGAGACCAGTATTCAAAATTGGTCTCTATCGTTTTCAAAAAATAGCATTCTTAGTCTAATTTTCATAAATGCTTCATACCTGTCCATGTGGTTTCAAAAAATGACTTGTATGGTGCTTTTTATAACATTACGTCTAATTGTTGCGGTTACCTTTTTTAAAAGGACCAATATGCTCTTGTTAAAATTTCAGAAATGGTCCTTTTGTTTTTCAAAAAATGACAAGTTAATCATTTTTTAACCACTACTACAATCACCGCCTTCAGCCACCGCCAACACCACCACCACGTCTAGCCACTGTCATTACCACCATCATCGCCTTCAACATGCACCAACACCACTTTCAGTAACGTCATCTTCGACCAATAGCACCACTACCATCATCGTCTTCAGCCACTGTCGCCACCAAGATTGCTTTCAACCACCATCATCGCGACCAACATGCACACTAAGATCGCTTTCAACCACCATCATCACCACGAACATGCACTAGCACCACCTTTAGCAACCACCACCATCACCCCTCGCCTTTAGCCACAACCAGCTCAGCCATCATCGCCTTCAACCGTCGCCACCACCACCATCGCATTCTACCTCTGCCATCACCACCATTTCCACCTTCAACATGCAACAAGACTACCTTCAACAACCATCACCATGGTCGCCGCCTTCAGCTACTGTAACTACCACCATCACCGCCTTTAGCAACCTCCGCCTTCGCCGCATTCAGCCGCTGCCATGACCAGCATCACCGCCTTCAACATACAGTAGCATAACCTTCAACAACCGCCCTCATCATCACCACCTTCAACAACTACCACCACCGCCGCCGCCACCTTTAACCAGTGTCACCACCACCATCTATTTCAGCCACTGCTACCACCATCACCACCACCTTCATTCACCGTTCATGAGGGGAGAATATGAGAGAGTAAAGGGATAATGATGTGTTGATTTTATGAAAGGGTAAATTTATCATTTCAATTTATAGGCATTAACAAAGGACCAAAGTTGCAACGTTTTGAAATCAAATTTCCATATTTGAAGTGTTTTTGAAAGTTTTCATCTTGTCATTTTTCGAAAACCATGGGACCATGTTTTTGAAATTTTTTGTGACTTTTATTTTAAACTAAAATCTATGAATTCAAAACCTACTCAAGTAGCTTTTGAGGGTTTTTGGATTATGACATTTTCATCTAATTTTATACTCTCAAAAGCTAATTTTTTTTTCCCTAACACTCCTACATAAATAAAAAGTTAAAACTTCAAACTTCCGGCTACCATTAGTAGCTAGTTTTTCAAAACACATCCTCCATTTAACTACATAGTATTGTATGCACTTTATGAGATCGTATTTTGTTTTCTGAAATTGTTTCTCATTATTGTCTTAGCTAGTTCTAAAATACAATCAAATAAATGAGTAGTTTTTTGAACAAAATTAAATTGTATACCAATTGTGGTACTAAAAATTTCTTTTAGAAAACATTGACTGTAATTGATCAGAATAAATATATTGATTATGCCGAGACTTTAATTGATCGAAATAAATATAAGGATAATGCCGTAAAGAAATATCATAATCATAATATATAAATATAATAAGCTTTTAAATATACTGCCTTTATTTTATAACAAAGACAAGTTAACAACCATGAAATTATTGGGTAGTTGCATTGGACTAAAGTCCACGTGATAGCAGAAAACGAACCAAACTAACTACACCTACTTCATAAAAAAGTCTTGGTACTATGCGTACGGGCTCGACGACGAGTTATTGTCGCTAGACTCGTACTGATTTCAGTGACTCGACGAACTCAGCCACCGCAACTCGGGAAGAACCACCATCCATCACCGCAGCTTTAGCACTCTCACTGATCGCCGAAACATGTTCCCTCAACTTCTTTCCACTATCTTCCTCCATCAATTCCCTCAGTCTCTCTGCCAACTCCTCCGCCGTCACAAACCCATCCTCCCCCATCTGCAACGGCAGCGCCACCTTGATTCCCTCGACCAAATACACCCTATTCATCTTCTGCTCTGCATATAACGGCCATGCCACCAACGGCACTCCGTTGTGCATAGCTTCAAGAACCGAGTTCCACCCACAATGACATACAAACCCACCCACTGATTCATGTCTCAGTATTTCACCTTGTGGTGCCCAGTTTTTCACTACCAAACCCTTCTCTTTATTCCGTTCTATAAATCCCGCCGGAAGTAAGTCGTCAAGATCCGGCTCTTTCAGTGCAAATTCATGCCCTTTTTCGTTCTCCGGCGGTGGACTCCGGACCACCCACAAGAATCTTTGTCCGCTTTTCTCTAGCCCTTTTGCCATTTCTTTCAACTGATCCTTCTTAAACTTCCCCATACTACCAAAAATCAGAACCACCACGCTTTTACTGGGTTGCAAATTCAGCCACTTCAAGCACATATCCCCACTATTGTCGCCGGAATTGTCTCGAATCAGTGGCCCAACGTAGTAAGTTGGCGGAGTTGGGCCGTCCGGTATGCACTCGCCGTCGGCAATCGCCTTCATGACTTTTGGCTCAAGTTTCGCGAACGTGTTCACGATAATACCACTGGATTTGGCCATGTTTTCTGATACGCTGAGTAAGCTTTTGTAAGAATTACTGTTTCTATTGTACATCGTCATCGGCATGTCGAGAGAATAAATGGGTGGTGTTCCCGGTGGTTGGATGTAAGTTCTTAGATCTTTAAAGCTCTCAGAGACCTTCTCATGGAGTGTCCGCATGTACAGCATAATGTTGAGGCCAAAAGCGCTTCCAGTGAACAAGTAGTACGTTGGTATGTTGAGGCTTGTGCAGACTTCAAAAGCATCGTTCGACATGAAATCAAGAATTCCGGCTTTGATGGTTGATTTCTCCGAGATGGTTTGGAGAGTGTCTCTGATGATGGGTTGGTAGAGTTTGCTTATTTGGAAAACAAGATCGAAGAAAGGGGTGGAGGTATCAGGTGGGTGAGGGAGGGTAGGAAGGTTGTGGAAGGTGATGGAAGGGGTGGTGGAGGTGACGTTTTTGATGTAGTTTGCGGTGGATTTTGTTTCGTAATGTGCCGGAGTAAGGAGGATGATGATGGTGAATGTAGGGTCGTGGGTAAGAATGAGTTCGCCGAGCTCCACCATTGAGATAAGGTGGCCGATTCCCAAAGACGGGAGCATCACCACCACACTTTCCATTTTAGAAGAATAGTTAATTTGTGAATCGTTCTTCTAGTTGAATGTCGTTATATAGTGCTCCATTAGGTTTGGAAAAAAATTTATTACAGAAATAAATCATCGTATACTACTTTCATAAGTTCATGGATTCATAGGCGCTAATTAACCAATAATTGATCTATAAAAGCATCTTACAAAAAAATAGTTATTTGGGAGGATAAAAATAAAACTTTAAACGAACTTCAGAAAATTTTATTGGTTTATGTGGCTTTTTTAAAAAAATGTCAAACTTAAAGATGATGTTGACCAACCCTATACAATTGGTGTTTATGGTTTTAATTTTTTAACGTTTGGTCGGTTTAGCTACCTCTATTAGAAAATTGGGGCTATATTATTACGTACTTGAAAAATGACTACGGTTTAATTAGGAACGAGCATTAGAACTACCGCAATTGAAACCGGATGGAACCGGACCGGAACCAGATTTAATAAAACGGTTCGGTTACCGGTTCTTCACTTATTGCAAAACCGGTTCGGTTCCACAAAAAACAGGTTAAAAAACCGGAACCGGTTTTTTAAATTCCGTAACTCACTCATATGAAGTCGGTATTACTTGATTTTTTTTTCCATACTGTAATTTAGTGTTTTTACTTCATTTTACAATATAAAAGAACATATTTTGGTTAAATAATTAATCATATACAAGCCCCAGAAGACAGTATATCAATGCTGCGTTTTTGTTATGTTTCAGCATGTTTTTTTTATTTTGTCCCGGTTTTTAAAATACTGTAACTCACTAATATGAAGTCGGAATTACTTGTTTTTTTTTCCAACAAGTAATTTAGCGTTTCTACTTCATTTTAGACCGTAACAAATCATAATTTGGTTAAATATTGAATCAAATAGAAACCCCAGAAGACAGCATATCAAAGTTGCGTTTTTCTGTTTCAGCAAGTTTTTTTTTTATTTTGTCCATGTTTTTAAAATATCGTACCTCATTTATATGAAGTCGGAATTACTTGTTTTTTTTCCAACATGTGATTTAGCATTTGTACATTTTAAACTGTAAAATATCATATTTTGGTTAAATATTGAATCATATACAAGCCCCGGAAGACAGCATATCAATGCTGCATTTTTTTGGTTTGTTTCAGCATGTTTTTTTAATTTGTTCCGGTTTTAAAATAATGTAACTTACATATATTATGTCGGAATTACTTGATTTTTTTTTTCAACATGTAATTTAGTGTTTGTACTTCATTTTAGAATGTAAAAAGTCATAATTTTGTTAAATATTGAATCCGATACAAGTCCGGAATGACAACGTATCAATGTAGTGTTTTTTTCATTTTTTTAATATGAAAGTTTAATTGTCTTTTATTTTTGGAAACCAAGTAAACTACATGTATGTATTATGAATTGCATCATCATTAGTTTCACTTTATTTATAACCGATTCTTGTTAGGAAGAATAACCGAAAACCAGGACCGAAACCGGAACCGGCGGTCTGATTCCCGGTTATTATGATATCACAATATTGATTCTGGTTCCAAACCGGTCCGTTCCGGTTCGGTTCCGATCCGATTCCAAAGCTCATACATAGTTTAACCATCTATATTTCTCTGGGCGTCAATATCTATAGGGATAACAAGTTAAGCCATAAAAGTACATATACATTACATGTGACAATGATTAAGTCGTACCCATTTTCCTAGTTCCACCGATAAGTTGGATGAATTGAATAGACATTTCGACTATGTATTAGACTTATGTAAATTTTTTGTTCACTGTATAATCATTTATTATTTGAGGGGTTGTAAATGTAATTCTTTTCCCTATATATTGAGTTACTCATGTCAGTGAGGGCTTTGAGTTTCCACATTCACTCATGGTATCACAGAGCCATTAATCCCACTTCTTTCCTCACCGATGACCTCATTCTTTTTCTCTTCTCCTTCCCTTAACCCCCACCCATCGGATTTCCTCCACTTTCCACCACCCCTCACCTCTTCCATGGCAGCCAACTCCTCCACCCTGTCGATGAACACAATCCTCCATCTAATTACCATTCAGTTGTCATCCTCGAATGATCTTTTATGGCGGAATCAAATGATTCCTCTCTTGAACTATCAGCAGCTTTACGACCATGTTGACGGCTCCAATCCGTCCCCATCGGCGTCCATTCTGGTAGACAATAAGCCCACTATTAACCCCGCATTTGCAGAGTGGGTCTCATCGGATCAAAAGGCTTTCATTCTCCTTCAAGCTTCGCTCACTGAAGAGGCTTTTTCTAAGATCGTGGGACTCTACACCGCTCGTGAGATTTGGGATGCTCTTGAAGCTGCCTACGGTAACTCCTCATTGGAGCGTGCTCAAAACCTTCGTGACCGCCTTCGCCATCTCACCAAAGGCACCGACTCCGTCTCTGAGTTTGGTCACAAATTTAAGTTGTTGTGTGATCAACTCGCTGCTAACGGCCAAGTTGTCAATGATTCCGATAAGACTCATTGGTTCTTGTGCGGCCTCGGTGCGTATTTTGAAACCTTTTCCATAGCAGTTCGGACCTCCGGTGCTTCCTACCAGTTGCGTGATCTTTTGGCTAAGGCCGAAGGTCATGAATTTTTCTTGAAGGCTATACATGACGAAGTTTCTTCGCCCCCTGCTGTTGCGTTTTCTGGCGGCGCAGCCCCTGCTGGGTCGGCCTCTGGACGGGGTCGCGGTGGTCGTGCGTCCCGTAGTGGTGGTCGAGGTCGTGGTCTCCGGTCAACTCATTGTCAACTTTGTAGGCAAAATGGTCATTTTGCTAACCATTGTCCCCAACTTGCCTTGTTTGCCTCACCCAGGTCTTCCAACGAAGTCGATCTCGCCAAGGCTTTCTTAGGCAAGTGCAATGTGACATTCCCAAATTCACAGTCATTTTAAAAAATTTTATTTATGCTTATTTTAAAATCAGAGTATCCTTTTTAAAGAAAATGTTGCGGAATTTGTTCCCAGAAAACATGATAAATATATTATCAAAGCATTTCCGAAGAAATGTATTTTATTCCTTTTAAAACATTGGGATGTCATTGTCAATATAGAAACATAAGCATAAATAGACCTTACATTCATTTACACTAGTGATCTACATCTCCTTAATCTCTCAGTGTAAAATAGCATTATATCGACACTTGTGATACAAATAAACTGAGTGGGACAGGTTGAGAAATCTAGTGAGTACATAGGGTTTTCAACCCACAATAATAAAGTTGTTATGTTTCATCATCAAACAATTAACCCAATTATCCATCCTCATTATCTTCTTTACTTCTTAAGGATGTACCCTAAGAATCATCTATCATTCACTTTTTCATTCCTAAGGATTCTCCTAAGGAATATGCACGAAGTCCATCGTTGCCTATGGCACAGCTGCCAATGTTATCTAATAGGCACAACTGTCAATATTATCTATTAGGCACAGCTGCCAATATTATCATTTAAGCACAACTTTCAGGATTATGTCGTTCTCTATTAGGCGTAGCTGCCGATATTATCATTTAGGCGCAGCTGCCAGGATTATGATGTTTTCTATTTGCCGATATTATCCTTTAGGCGCAACTGCTAGGATGTTTAGAGTACACCGTAGTTCAAAAACATCTATAGGTTGTGGCACAGCTGTCAATATTCATCTATATCATCTTTCACCTCTCATTATTCATCTACCCATGTTCTACCCAACATATTCGTAGATATAAAATACATATACAGATTAAATCATTTAAAACATGTATAAATCATTCAACCAGCATAGATAGCAAGTATATAGATAGTATGCACACATAGCACATAATTTATATAAAATATGTGTAAGATGAAAGTAACTATGCACTCACTTGTTAAAGTGATGATTCCAAACTCGGACAGCACTTCGCTTCTTAACAATATAATTTCCTTCGACGAAACCTAGTATTATAACCACTAAATTTTAGTCTAATATTTACCGTGACTAATTATTAGTCTTAGCATTATTATTATTATATAAGCGTTTATACAATAATTTCCAACCACTATGTACAGACAGGGGCCAGACATAAAATACCGGAGGGCAGGACCATTTTGGCATATAGTACTTTTGTAATCCAACAACCCTATGCGGTCCTTTAAACCAGATTCCTCGTACCGCGAATAGTTAAAAATATATTATAACGACACTTATATAAGTCATAATAATAGCCCAAATATTTATTATAAGTTCATAATAACAATACTAATTTTAAATATAAGTTATATTTAAAATAGGGTAAACATAACTTACTTACAAAGGGGATTTAGCTAGGAGTCGGGCTCTGCAGTGGCAGAACTTCGTCGCTAAATCTTTCTAAGAAAGATTCTTGCAGCGCTTCAACGCTCACCTTACTATACTAAAACTACAGAAAGAGAAGTCGAATCACGAGGGACTGAAATACTCGGGGGATAAGAAGAGAAAGACTCTTAAATCAATAGAATGGTGCAAGAAATATGAGAGCCTAGATGCTCTTATTTATAGTAATTGAATTTTCAAAAACCACCCTCTATAATATTATTTTATAATAAATTTAATGATATTTGTACTAAACTAATGTTGAAAGTACTCAACACTAGTCTTATAACGACCGCATCGTCGATACATTTCTAATGATATATACATATGTATATATATGTATACGTATATATGATTTACACTTTATTTTAATACGTAAATGTGCTATTAAAAATTATAACTCGTTCATACGAATTCCGTTTTTGACGTTCTTTATATCCACACGTAGCTATCGACGAGATCTACAACTTTCGTTTAGATTCCGGCGGCTAATTTTGAATTTATATATTTGTCCATATTTTTTATAAAATTAAATAATTTTGCTAAAATCATAACTCTGTCGTACGGACTTCTTTTTTTACATTCTTTTTCTCAAAATTCATATTTTAAGGAGTAATACGATTTTCTTTTTGGTCGCATTAGCTAAAAGTCAACCATTCTCTTCATAGCTTTTTACGTCATA